AAAAAGATTTTATTTATCTGGCTGGCATAGCTCAGTGGAATGAGCATGGGCTGTGAACCAAAGCATTGCAGGTTCGATTCCCAGTCAGGGCACATGCTTGGGTTGCAGGCCACAGCCCCCAGCAACTGCACATTGATGTTTCTCTCTCTCCCTCTCTCCCTTCCCCTCTCTCTAAAAATAAATAAAATCTTTAAAAATATATTTTATTTATTTATTTTTCAGAGAGAGGAAGGGAGGGAAAAAGGGAGGGAAACATGTGTGGTTTCCTCTTATGCACCTCTTATGGGGACCTGGCCCACAACCCAGACAATTCCCAGATTGGGAATTGAACCGGTGACCCTTAGGTTCACAGGCCAGCACTCAATCCACTGAGCCACACAAACCAGGGCAAGGGGAACTACATTTCTTGCCCACTATTCCCTGTAGGAGATACAGAGAAACAGGCAGAAGAAGGTGAAACCAATACACATTGGGGCTATGGGCAGGAGAGAGGGCATCCTGTACGAAAGGTGGAATGAAGGAAGCTGTGGGTACACACTCAAAGGAGCAGTGAGGCCTTACCCAGAGAGACCAGGAGCCTATAGGTCTCCAGCATCACTTCCCTGTATAGGGTCATCTGGGCAAGGTTCAAATGCCCCCACTCGTTCTGGGTAAAGGTCACTGTCACATCCTTGAAGGTAACTGATGCCTGAAAAGTCAAACAGAGGTAGCTTCATTGGCCCATGGCCAGTCAAACAAGATTAAAGCCTGATGCCCAGTCATTGGTAAAGGACCACAGAGCCCCAGGGCCAGTATCACTGAGCACTTCCTGGAAGCCTAGCTCTGTTCCAGTTCCAGGGAGTCAGACACTGCTGTTGGACAGAATGTGACCATGCTAGAGACAAAAACTGTCTATGCTGAAGCTATTCACGAAAGACACAGATGATGGCAAGGCCAAATGGCCTGAGAGACACAGAGAGCAAGCACTTCGGGAATGAAGAAGAATAGGGAGGACAGGACAATGATCAAAGCGCCAATCATGACAAAAGCAGCAGCAGTTGAGCCTTGCTGGTCCTTACCACATGCCTTACCGTACTAAGGTTTCACACGTCACACTCAAGCAATTACACATTCCAGCTCTGGAGCTAGATTCCGACTTTGAATATACCCTACTGGGAATGATACTTGTCTGCTCTGTATTCTGGGGAAAGTCAACTTATTTCTCTGAGCCTTGATTTCTACATCAGTACAGTAATAGTTCCCATTGCACTAGGTAGTTGTGAGAATTAAAAAAGTGTTCATGAAGCAAACCCTGGAATGCTTAGCACATGTCAGTGTTCAATGTGTTTTTCCTGCTTCCATTACTACTCACAGCTATGATGTCAACACACCATCATCATCTCCATGGCACAGTAGTGGTGCTAGGCAGCTTTAGCAAGCTACCCAGAGTTATATGTCCCAAGAACAGAGGTGGAATTTGAACATCTGTAATAGACCACACAACCTCACCTTCCTGAGGCACATCTCAGAGGTATTCCCTGCCTGTGTACATACGCTTCCATGTGGCTGGAAGTTCCGCCATCCTCCCTTGTTACCAAGTCCATGTGCTCAAAGGACACCTCCTTCCTGGCAAAAAGTTTGTTGCGCGTGGGTCACCGGCCAGCAGTGACCACGGAACGCTGTGGATGGCTCGACAATACGCGAGAAAAAACACACATGCACAGAGACAAACTAGTTTCTGTGGGGAAGTAGGGACAGAATGGCCACCCCCCCTAGTGGGGGAGCGCGCCGATTTACAGTCCATACCTGCTTTTATTGGGCTCATGCTACACAATAACTCAGGTAAAGTACAATACTCATTAGGGGAAGTAAGGAACTATAGAAAACAAAGAACTCTGCCGGTCTATTGAGTTGGGGGTCAAAGAGCTGTAAGGCTGAGGAACAAAATAACCTCCTGCTAAGACCCTTCTCATTCAACTGAGAGCGTTCTAAACAAAGAAGGTTTCACAGTAATTTACATGTTCTTTCTTAGGCCTGATCACCCCGGGAAATCCGCACTTCCCAGTACTGAGCTGTACTACCCTGTCATTGTTTCAGGCTTAGGTGGAGCACGGGAACTAAGGCCACGGAGAGATAAGGAGATTTTCTTCCGGACGCTGAGAACTCGGACTTTGTCAAAGCCGAGGAGTGAGGGTCCATCACCCCCTTTTGCTGCAGCCCCCCAAGTCCTTCTTTTGGGGGGCCTCCCAAAAGTGATCGTGCCTGGCTTGGGTTGTTCCCCCGTGGGGAATCTTACCCGTCTTTGGCTAACCGACCAAGCTTTTTTGGGGTTCAGCAGCAGAAGCAGCATTCCTGCCAGGGAGATAAGCTTTTATCTCCTTGCCGGCTTACGGTTCCAAGGGCGTTCCCTTAGCCTTAGCTAGGCGGGGGTTTCAGCCTCTGATACCAGTCAGGGCGGTTCCCAACAAAAGTTGTCATTAGGTGTAACCTCCAGGTTTCCCTAGTCCACTAGGGGCAGAAGGGTGATTAAGAATGCAGCCCTGGGTGGTGCAGCTCAGTGGATTTAGCACAGGCTGCCAACCAAAGGGTTGCAGGTTTCATCCCCAGTCAGGCCACATGCCTGGGTTGAGGGCCAGGCCCTCAGTGGGGGACATGCAAGAGGCAACCACACATTGCTGTTTCCCTCTCTCTCCCCCTCTTCCCCTCTTTCTAAAAAGAAATAAATAAAATCTTAAAAACAACAACAACAATGTGGGCTTTGGTTGTCAGTGTATGGGGTATTGACTTTTGACTACTTTGGAGCTGTGACCTTTGGCAGGCCTGAAGTTCATCCTCTATAAAGCAGAGATGATAACAGACCCTAACTCTGAGGAGGTGGGTTAACTCCACCTCAGCACAGATCAAGTGCTAAATATGGCCAGCTGCTATGGTTGTTATAGTTATTTTTCCTCTCTGCTTCCAGAATACGCTGGAAAAAACAAATCAATGAAACCCCCATCTCTGCTTTTGTAACTGTACCAGATTCTATGCACAAAGATTCTAGAGGATGGGCAGGTAGGGATGGCAAATATTTATTTAGAACTAACAAAGCCAGGGAAACACCCTTGTAGGACATGACACTGGAGAGAGCTAGGAAAGAGGCAGCCCTGCAGAGGTCTGGAGGCAGTTTTCCAAGGCTGAGGGCATTGCATGGGCAAAGGCCAGGAAATGGGAAAGAGCTAGGAATGTTCAAGGCAGCTTAGCTGGGGTGCAGTGAGCAAAGAGGAACAGAAGGAGAGAAGAGGTTGGGAGGGACTGAGGTGGATGTAGTAGAAGTGTCTGAAGAGGAGTCATTCACTCTTTAATCATTTATACGGCACCGGTTACATGCCCTGTACTGTTCTTATCTGAGAACAAAGCACAGAACAGCGGCTGATGTTCCAGGGTTTAGGAATGTGAAATACTGTCTTGAATGGCTATAAGGATTCTACAGACAACAAAACAGAATGAGGGTAAGAGAGACTGGAGAGGACTTTAAATGGAGTGAGTAGGGAATGCCTCTCCAAGGCGGGGGGCACTGGAGGGAGCATGAAATGAGTGTGGAATGGAACCATGTAGAGGACAAATAAATAAGACAAGTCCTGATGCTGATTATAGGGTTGTGACAAAAGTAAACAGGGTGCCATCTAAGGGAGCCAAAGAGGGCCTATTGTGTATTTACATCGGAAGACACAACACTGCTGCACAGCATCATTACTGATGTTGACATAAGAAACATCCACACCTGTAGACAATTTTTATAAGAATTTCTTTGAGCCAAAACTGATGACAATTGCTGGAAAGCAAGATCTCAAACACTTTCTAGATGACAGTTTTACAGTGCTCTTACACAAGTGGAATTAAGGAGAGAACTTAAAGATTACCTGAAGGTGGGAGAAAGCAAGGTACAGGATAGTTAACGAGATTATCCCTTGAGGGTGGTTACTCCTCCAAGAGATCTATAAAAGAGAATTATTTCTGGCATTTCAAAGGTGTGTTAATGTAGATGCAGAAGAAAATAGACAAGGCTTGGTTAAGGCAAAGATAAACCTTTTACTAAAGAAGTTTAGACCTGGGGCAGACTGCCCAATTAGGAATTTATGATGAGATCACCCTGTGATGTTACTTTTAGTTAGATTTATTACAGCACCCCTTTTTCATCCACATTGAATGTGTAATGCATCTGCATTTCACACGCGAGTGTCTTAAACAGGTAAATTGATTCACTACTGTCAGTGGCACGTCAATCCCCCTGGCAAGATGGCACCTGTAGTGATGAATTTGGGGGCCGTACTGGCTCTCAAGCAGATCTGTGATCTGTGCCCCAGCAGAGGAGCAGCAGTTCCAAGTGTGTTTTTCCCATCCACCTGTTCCCCAGGCTATCCGTCCCACTCCACTCATCAGCTCTGTGGAGGCCAGAGCTCAGGAAGGTTCAAGGGCTAGATTCTCCTTGGGGTAAGGCCCTAAGATTAACATAGGTCCAGAATGCACCTCTCTGGCGGAAGAGTACAGAACGATGGTCCCTGGGTGGTTCTGGGGCAACAGAAGTGCACTCTCCAGTTCCCTAAACCAAGAGTGAACAATTGTTAACATTCCCATTTTTTGCCTGAGATAATGTAGGTCAAGGATAATGAGTGGACTCCGTCAAGTAGACACAGGCCTGGAATCCACACTGAGGTCTCTGCACTCAGTAGCCTAACGTCCACTCAGCAGGAAGACCCACGCGGGTCGCGCATATTGGAGAGATTCTGTGAAACTACACTTCCTCCTTCCACACCGGAAACAAAAATTCTGGTGATTGCCAGAAATGAGAATCTTTCTATGTAACCCCCATGCTGGATTCCATACATGGGCTGTAACTGACCCCATGCTGGGACATGCAGACACAAGAGCAGAGAGGTGAAGGTGAGGACTTCCCTAATTAACACCAGTTCTCACGTCAGGGAGCCAGACAATGAAGATAGAGGTGCGAGTGGGCAGGGTTGTGGGCACTCTGCACTCACCTGCGCCAGGTCCATTTAGAACTAGCACCAACAATGAAGTCCATGCTCGGAGCTGGACCGAAAGAGGCAGCAACAGAGACGGTCCGTGGGGTCGCTGAACCCTCTCCCAGGTCTTACAAGGCACGGAGGTGGCTGTCCTCTCTCGTAGGGTGCTTCTCTGCAAGGTGCTGAAGGGCCACCGGGCCAGGAGAGCCAGTGAGCAAAGAATCCCCAGGTTTAAAGAAGTAGCTCGCTGATGACACCGGAAGTCCCGCCCAACAAAAGGGGCAGCAAGGAACGCCCCTTTCACAGTCCCTTAGGGTCCCAACTCACACCCCGCCCGGACTTCTGGGTTACGTAGTTAGTCTGCTGCGTGCAGCCGGGAAGGGTCGGGAGAACTTTTTCCAGTCTTCTAAACCACCTCCTGACTGGCTGGGGCGCTGGAAAAAAGAGTGGCTTTGTAACGTCGTGTAGGTTTAACAGGGTAGGTTGAGAGGTTCCAGGGCCCCCCACAAGCCTAGTTTGGGGGCTAGGAAATGCAACAGCTCGGAGACTGAGAGTTGTTTTGCATATTAAAAACAGCAGGCTAGGGAGGATAGGTAGGACTTTGACTCTTAATATAACTGGGAAGCAGCTCCCGGGGTTACTGCGCCTGTGAGACAGCTTGGAGATGGTTCACTTCACACCTCCGGGACTAAACTGCCCAGACTAACAGTGGCAGCGGAGAAAGGCAGAAGAAACCAGACTACTGGCAGGTGTAGCCGACTGTGGGAGGAGTCAGAAATGAGGGTAGGGAGGAAGATCCGCGCCAGAATTTAAACCCGGGCTCCGCAGCTGTGCTGGTGCTTATCCACCCGGTTTGGGGAGCAGAGAGGAGGCTCTCTTAATCACTCGGGTTCGAAGCGGGAAAGCAAGACATAGCAGTCATGCAGAGCTCTCTCTTTCTGTGTTTTGAAAGAATGCAGGGCTCCCACCCGCCTAGCATGAGGATGAGGTTCTGGATCAAGAACGGTTGTCTAAGTCTGATACGGACTTGTATTTCTTTTCCTGAAATGCGGTACCGTGACTGTCCTGGTTTGGCAAGGGGAGGTGTGTGTGTTTGTGGGTGTTTTAACAGGACTTTGTGATTTAATGGCGACATTCCGCCGTTACTCTGAACCTATATAACTTTTGAGCATAGTTCCTTTCCTTTTTACCAAACTGGCATTGAGAGCCACGATTCCTAACATGATAAGGTGGGAAAAGATGAATCATAGAACCAAAGACCCCGGGATTGGGGGTGAGGCGGGTTGTTTCTGTAACAGCTTGTTAGGAAGGTGTTGCCGGCCACACTCTTAACTACAAGTATCTGCTAGAGTCTTTCCTCTAAACCACGCCCCTGCTGGAGCTCCCCTTGAGCCTTAGGAGCCCATACCCAAGGGTAGCCTGAGCTACCTACCACCAGCCTCTCAGACCTGGGGAACCCAAGAGCCCTTTACCCTGACATCAAGGAATGACAGTGAGCCAAGGCAGGTGACTATGCTATTCACTCAGGTTACGATTGATTCCGAATAAATCCAGTAAAAACAGTGATAACACAACAAGGAAGCTGAGTCCTGAGTCCAGATCAGGTCCTGGGCACCCAGGGAGGCCGCGGGTCAGGGTCGTGCAAGTCAGAGTCTGCGGTGGCTTGTGAGTCAGCTGGAGCAGGGTCCATCAGAGCAGCAGTGCACTGCTCTCTCCCTCCCTCTTGTTTGTCTCAGCCTTCTGTCGGAAGCTTCTGCTTTTATGCCCTTTCTGGTTGCAAGCTCATGTTGTTTTGCATGGTTCTTCATAAACATGTTTTCCTCAGTTCCGATAAGCATGTTATTTTGTTCAGTATTTTTTATTATTTCTAGTGCACATGTTTTGACCGCTTAGCTCTGCTGCATCATATTGCTTACCACAACCAAAACTGAGCGACCAGGCGGGACTGTGCATGCTCTAAACAGAGCATTAGTCCTTCTCTTCTCAGAAGGGGACAAGGCTTCACACCTTCTTAGAGGGTAAACACCCAAATTTATCTGCTACCTATCACCTAAGACTTTAAAAACTCATGATTTCATATGTCCCCATGGGGTGGGGGGAGGAATTTTTCTCTATCCTCAAGGTTCTTTTGGCTGATCCAATAATTAAATATATAAAAGACTAACAAGAGAAAATAACCAAATTTAATACATACATACTGTGAACCAAAAAGGGGTTATGTAGTAAATCTGAACTGGGCAGGTCAAGATTGGTAGTTACACCCCAGACCCGTAGCTTTTTTAGTAAAAGGTTTATCTTTGCCTCAAGATACAATCCTGTCCATTGCATCTGAGTTAACATACTTGAAATGCCAGAGTAATTCTTTTTTTCCAGACCTTTTGGAGGGGTAACTACCCTTAAGGAAATACATGATTTTATTGTCTGCATACTATCCCTATTTATTGTAAATGTTAAATGTTAACTACCCTGTACTTAACTAACGTAAAAGAATTGTGTATGTACCCTGGCTGGTGTGGCTCAGTGGGTTGAGTACCAGCCTGCAAAAGGGTCGCTGGGTCACTTCCCAGTCAGGGCACATGCCTGGGTGGTGGGCCAGGACCCCAGTAGAGGGCACATGAGAGGCAACCACACAATGATGTTTTTCTCTCTTTCTCCCTCCCTTACCCTCTCTCTAAAAATAAATAAATAAAATATTTTTTAAAAGAAAGAATGGCATATCTCTCCAGTTTACTTTTTATTCAATCCTATAAACTGGACTGGATGCTGATTTCCTTGCTTTGCTTCCTTCCACATCCTTAATCCTAAATAGATTTCATGTAACCTTCCTTTCCATTGATTCTAAATGTATAAAATGTATAAAAGAAAAAGGACTCATGGACAGGGACAACAGTGTGGAGATTGCGGGGTGGTGGAGGTGGAGGAGAGTGTAAAGGGGATAAATGGTAATGGAAAAAATACAATAAAATTTTTTTGAAAAAGAAAAAGTGTGTGTACCCACTGGATGGTGGAGGTATACTTTGTGACTAGCTTACCTCTATTATAGGGTGCTACTACTGTGATGGGGTGTGTGGTGGGTGGTAGAGTCACTGGTAGTTTTGGAGGTGTCTGCACTGCCTCTACCAGGATCTGCTAGGATGGGTGGGGAAGTGGAGGCAAGTGCATATCTTGGTGGCACTGCTGTACTGTTTAAGGTATCTCCAATTTCTTCTCCTGGCTCTGATGGTTTGGGTGGGGCCAAGGTGGCAAGTTCATGACCTTGCAGCTCTGCCTCCCTTCAAGCAATTGCTCATGGCACTTCAGTACTGCTCAGGGTTTCTCAGCTTTCTTTATCAGGCTCTTCTGGGATGGGTAGGGCAATAGAGGCAAGTTCATCATATGCATCTCTTGCTCCTCTTCCATTAATGACTTTAAACAGTGCTGTGTGTTTTTAGGCTTCCCAGAAATCTCTAGGGGGATCTGCTGTGATGGAAGGGGGAGAAGAGGTATTGTGGGGGGTGGGGAGCACTGCTTATGCTAAAAGGAAAAAACAATCTCAATATACAAAGCAAGCATCAAAGTCAGACTTGGACATTGCAGAGAATTTAGAATTATCAGACTGGAATTTGAGACAACTGATTAATATTATAAGGGTTCTAATGGAAAAAGTGGACAACATACAAGAACATATAGTAGTATAAGAAGAGAGATGGAAATGCTAAGAAAAACTTAAAGAGAAATGCTAAAAATAAAAATCATTGTAAACAAAATGAAGACTGCCTTTGGAGGGTTCATCAACAGGTTAGATAAGGCCAAAGAAAGAATAAGTTTGAAGATTTGTCAATAGAAACTTTACAAAAGGAAACTGGAAATCAAAGACAAAAAAGAGTAAAAAAAGACAGTGATAAAATATCCCAAAACTACAATTACAAATAGTGTAACACAGTCATAATAGGAATACTAGAAGAAGAATAAGAGAAAGGACCAAAAGGAATATCTGAAGTAATGATGGTGGAAAATTTTCAAAAATTAATGAAAAACACCAACCCAGAGGTCTAGGAGGCTCAGAGAACACCGATAAAGATAAATTCTAAAACATGTACACCTAGGCATAGCATATTCAAACTTCAGAAGATCAAAGATAAAAAGAAAATCTTGATGGAAACCAGAGGAAATCTTACCTCTAGAGGAACCAGGATAAAAATTACATCAGACTTTACATCAGAAAACATGTAAACAAGAAAAGAATAGAGTAAAATATTTAAAGTGTTGAAAGGAAAAACACTGAACTAGAATTCTGTATCCAGAAAAATTATTCTCCAAAAGTGAAGGACAAAAATTTCTCCAACAAACAAAAATTGAGGTACTTTGTTGCCAGTAGACCTACAATATCAGAAATGTTAAAAGAAATTTTTAGAGAGAAGGAAAATGATATAGATTAGAAATATGGATTTCCATAAAGAAAAAAAGAGCATTAGAGAAGGAATAAAATCTCTCATTTTCTCATTCTTAACTGATCTAACAGATAAAATAATGAGAGCAGCATTGCATTTGGTGAGTTTAGCTAATGGATAAGTGTCATAAATAACAGTAATGTTACAGGGGGTGGGGTGGAGGAATTAGGAATAGTCTCTTATATGGTACTTACATTACTAGCAAGCAGTATACTATTGTTTAAAGTTGACTGAAACTGGTTGTGAATGTGTACTGCAAACATAGAGCAACTGTTAAAGAGAAATTAAGAAGTATAATTGATGTGCTAAAAAATTAAGAAGTATAAAAGAGAAAAGAAAATGGAATCATATAAAATATTCAATTAAGGGTGGGTGGGCTGGATTGGGAGTAAAAGGGAGAAAACTGTACTTGAACAATGATTAAAATAAAAAAATATTCAATTAAAACCAGAGAAGGCAGAAAAAAATGGAAGACAAAAAGAAACAAAGTTGCCCTGGCTGGTGTAGCTCAGTGGATTGGGTATTGGCCTGCAAAGCAAGGGGTTGCTGGTTCGATTCCCAGGCGGGGCACATGGCTGGGTTGCAGGCCAGATCCCCAGTGGGTGGTGTGATGTTTCTCTCCCTCTCTTTCTCTCTCCCTTCCCCTCTAAAAATAAATAAATAAAATCTTTTAGAAAAGAAACAAAGAACAAAGGCACTGAATAGAAAGCAGTTATAGATATAGTAGATATTAATCAATTCACATGTGAATGGTCTAAATATACCAATTAAAAGTCAGAGATT